AGCTCTGAGAACTGTAAAACCAAGCGTCTTCTAGAGAGAAAAATTTCCCAATAATCTTGCAGAAACCTCTGGAAGAGCATGACATTGGGAATGGGGTAATGGAATTCATTTACCAAAAAATGTTAACATTGCATGAATATACAGCCTTGTGCCGCATAATAAAAAATAATCCTTATTACATGATGAATAACCTTTGGACTATAATGTATCTTAATAGAAAACTATCTTGGGATAGATTTTTCCCTAAAAAGCATTTTATTTTTTAAAAAATCCAATTAAAATTTTAAAATACATTTTTTATTTTCTTTTAAATCATTGATTTTTATCCACCCTACTCAGTTTTCAACAAACAGGTCTACTGCAATTATGTATAGTTTGTACCTTAAGTGCTAAGGAAAGAGAAACCAAAATTAATCCCAAAATATTATGTTACCTTTTTAAAAAAAGTACCATAGTTGCTCAACTAAGCTGAAATAATCACAGTAAAAGCAGCACCCTTTTTTATGAGAAGGCAAAAGACCTGCGTCTGTTTGAACAAGCAAAAGCAGAGCTTGGAGGTTCCAATAGTACTAAAAATATATCGGGAATCAGTAGAAACCAGAGTTATTTATTTTAATGATTATAATGGGCTTAAGAATAAATTAATGCAAGCTATCCATTAATAAATGTAGGGTAGTGATTAAAGAAATATTCATAAGTATAAAAATATTCTGTTCACATTTATTTAGTTTATTTACAAAATGTATCTGTTGTTCCTGCTCTTCCTGAATGGAGTGTTAGAGGCACCTCTGTTATGTGGCATACCCCGTCTTTTCTCATAGTGTTGTCTCTGGTCGCATAGGTTGTGTGGGTTTTCGGAGGAGCTGCACAACCCTGCAAAACCCATGAAAGGAGACAAAAGCAGGTGTGCAGTGCACACAGTGATGCCTCTGTGATATACCATCTTCAACTCACAGGCTCCCCCCCCCCACCATGTCTTTTTCACCCAGGGCTAGCTTGAGGGGTCAAAACCTGCCACAAAACTGGTTTGACCAGAGACAGTGATAGGGTACAGCAAGATGTGTTTGTGTTATGAGTACAGACTGCTCTATAGCACAGGTTCCCATACGATGGCCATGGGGGTACGCATGAGGCACTTTCCTCCCTGTCTCCTTCCAAAAAATTGTTTTACTAACAATCTTGACAAATATTAGTGCACTGACTACTCCATCCAGTTCCTGAATCTGCTTCAGATCACCTGTTTGGCAGAGGCAGGCAGGCAGAGAAGCAAATCTTTGCTTCCTGGACACTCCCAATCTTTGGCCCACAGAGACGTTTCCCTGTTGCAGTCTCTCTCTTTGTTCACCATTTAAAGCCTTGCTATTTCCCCCCCCCCTACAACCCCTTTTCTTGCTATTTCTTTCCTTGCCTGTCCCTAGCTGCCTTCTTTTCCTCCCTTTTCAGCCTCTTGCCTTGCTGTTATCCCCTCCACTTCTTTGTCTTGCTATCTTCCCTTGTCAGGCTCTAGGCTCACGATTTCTCCTCTCCGCTTTAGCTCAGTTTTGATTAGCCAGGCCTTGTGACAGCCACTATGTGACTAGCCATATCTTCCCTGGAGGGCATCTATGAAACCCACAGCAGTTTCTCAAATTCCCAAATGTCCTCATGGGATACTCTGCTCTACAGTATTCTTCGAAATGTCTAGAAAAAATCTTGCTTGTATACAGTCTAATCATTCACTGCTCTACTGTCTGTTATGCCTCACTTGTACTTGCTGCTTTTTCTGATAATCCAAAAATTATCACATTAGAATAAATATACCTGTAAAGGGCTTTCATCTGGGGGATCCAACCCACTGTATTCCTCTTGCCTTCTAATTGTAGACATTTTAAATACAAGCCCACTCTAAGTACTGTGGATGGAATGGGACTGCATATTTATGCCTGTAGCATATCAAGCTCCACTTATTGGCCTGTAGCATTTGGACAGAGTCTGATGCTGAGCTGGGGAACTGGGGGAGTTACTCCACAAAACCCATGTGTCTTTGGAAATGACTGTATTTTCGTCTCTGCCTGGTATGCACATTTGTTGAACATTGTAATCTCTATTGTTATGGCTGGGGCAGCTTGTTCTTTGGGACCTTCTATTGAGACTGTCAGAAATGCAAAGCTACAATCTTTCTTTGTTTGTTTGATTCCATATTATTTGAAAGGATTCTCTGCTTCCTCCGTATTCCATAATATAAAAGCATACACTGTAGACCGGTCAATGGTGAAATTGTCCTTGGCTTCCACATTGTGAGTCGCACAATGAATTATCGTACCATGTACAGTTTTACTGAGGAAACCATCTCCATGGGTGAAAGAATCTCAGAAACTTATAAGTATTCCACTATAACAAAGTTCCTGTTGTGAATGCATTAATTTATACTAAAATCCACTGTGCACTCAGTAGGCATGGTTTAAAATAATGCAACAGTTACTTCACAAGGTTAGTGCCCTAGTGTACACATCTGTTTTTTATACAGCACTTCAGGATGCAAAGTTCATGTTGTAATTCTTTGCTGTTTATATTACAATGGAGCCGATTGTACATTTCTGAAAGTACTCTGTCAATTTCCAATGCAGATAATGATCCAATTTGTACATGGTGGTGTCAAACTATGGGTTAACTAACCCACAATCTGCCACAGTGCATGCTGGGCACATTCTATAGCCTTCTTGAGTATTTAACCCCCCACCAATCAATTGTTGCCAAGAGATGTCTGAACCTGGGCACTATAAGGTACACAACCCACAGTTAACTACTAACTGTAGATGAATTGTGGCTGGGTTCAAATGTCAGAACAAGCAATCTGCGTGGTTTCCACAGTGTGCTGTTTTTTGCCTGGATGTGCCTGACAGATGATTAAGTGGTTTCTATGCTAACATTGTTTCTACTTCTTGCATATCCCCTCAGTCACCACACTTGTAATTCAATCCCATACTAGAGGTCTGGAGCAAGTCCTACAGCTGCTGCTCTTCCCAGGAGACTGTGGTAGCTACATACTAGGACCACAGAAACCACAGTGCTGGGTCTGGTTGACCAGAGAAACTATGATAAAGCATAGAACCCATAGAACAGACCATTGTTCCTTATAATGGTTTGTAAAAACCAACCGCAGCATGCCAAAATATCACAACAGGGATTGGACAATAAAACAGATCATCCTGTGCAAGAAACCACTGAGGTTTGTCATGTTGTACAAACTCACCCTCTGGGTTGTAGCACTCATGATTAACCTCTAGACATTGTGAATCAATCCGATTGGCCTGACTGGGGGCTGAATATTCAAAATGGCTGCAGAATTCACCCAGCCGGAGCAATGGCAAATTGTGAATTAATTAACATTTAGATCATTATGTCAATTGTAAGTTGGCACAGTACTTTCAGAAATGTGTGTTCAAAAATTAAGTATGACATATTCTTGATATCTAGCTTTTTGTATTTCTTACATTTTTAAACTAGGGTTCAGCTTTCCTAAACAGCTTTTTCATGTTGAAATATGCTTTGTAAGCATATAGAGATTGGCATTTGCAATTTCATATACTGTTATAAAAGGTATAGAAGGGGAACAAAAGAAAACCACAACAGCACTTTAGTTGCATATATAACTACTTTTACATTTAATTTCAGTGATCATTGCTAGTGTTTCACACCTAGAAAAACTCCACTAGAAATATATGTAGTTAAATTGAAATCAAACTCCATTCTGAAAGTAATTAACTGTGGCTCTTCTGCAGTTCTAATATTTATCTGGATAGTTGACAATTCATCTGTGTTGTAGCAATGCTGATGATAAATTTTCCAGTATTTGAGGCAAGGTGCCTATGCGACCCATTTGCTGGGGAACTTGAGCAGAAGGGTGTTCTCACACTTACATCCTTCTTGTGGGATCCTGTGGGCAGCTGACTGGCCACTTCACAAAAAAAGAATGCTGGGCTAGATGGATCATTAGTCTGATCCAGCGGGGCTCTTTTTATGTTCTTATTTCTTGATCCACTAGGAATTTGGACCACTACTTAGAGCACAGCTTGGCTATTCCCAGTGCGACTTACCAAGCTGGTGGGTCTCCCACATACTCCTTTCTTTGCAATCTATCTGGACAAGGAAGGGGGAAATTGCTGTTCCTACACTGCTGTTAATAGGGCCAGGATGGTGATTTTGATGGGATGACTGAGTAGGAGAGGTGAAAGCCTGTTCCAATCTCCATTTATCCTGCTTCTGAGATTGTAATTTTCTCACTAGCTGTAGGCAAACAGAAGCCTTGATCGATGACAATCACTAGGTATGGAAGAGATAAAACTATGTACAGATGTTTTCAAAGGAATATTCAAGAAGTGTTGGGGATTCCTTTGTAATACTGTAGGTTTCCCATTTTTATAAAGCCGTGTTTCATGTAAATTGTAGTGCTCACTTCTGGGACAGATAACAGTCAGCATTTCTGAGGTTCTCCTTTTTAAAAGTCTCATATAGGCTGGTTCAGATTATTGTAAACAACTATATGTAGAGTGGCCCCAAATGGGCATGGCTGTGTACAGGCAGAAACACTGGGTCTGTCACATCCATAGATACGACAGACATGCCTAGATCATGGTGGCATATTTTGTTTGCACTGTGCTCGTGTGAATTGCTATCAAGATTTGGAGGCTGCATCTGTGTACATATGCAGTAGGTCAGATGTTAGGCCCTGCTTTTCCTTGGAGCCAGTCATCTTGATGCAATTGTCAAAATGTCTGAACCAGCCCTATAATACCATGACTTTGTATTGAAGGTTATAAATAATGTTCAAAGCCCTGGGTAAATAGATTGTAGAGACACATCTCAATTATCTTTTATGATAAGCATCAGTTCTCAGGGTAGTTTGTTAGCAGTTTTCTTTACCAATTACTTTAAATTATATTTTACCATAAGGATGTTTACTTTATCTGTTTGATGATTTTGCAGACGTCAAAACCCTTTGTTCCTCCTTTGCATTGCAGTACAGAATTGGACAACTGTACATGATCAGTAAACATAGCCATGAACAGAGTGATCGTGGAGAAGGTGTGGAGGTGGTGCAGAATGAACCATATGAAGACCCAAATTATGGGAATGGGCAACTGACAGAAAAACGGGTTTATCTGAACAGGTATGCAGTTCTGCAATTTCAATGAATATGTACACTATACTTCTACCATTTGGCTGCTTCCAGCAAAGGAGAAATGAAAGCTGCTAACACTTACATGGAATTGAGCTGCTTTTTTATAAATGCATAGGAAGAAATGCAGTCTGGGAATGGGATAGTAGCTTTAGAAATGACACATTTACCTCCTATTCCATTTCTCAGTAAGAAGGTTTTTTAAGTATTTATATTTAAAATGGATGTGTTACAGTTTCCTTCCTTCTTCAACTCATTGTCAGATTCAGCAGCTTGTATGTGAGTCAAATGTCAGCAGCCCTTGATTGTTTCATATAAATTAGTTAGTATAATAAATAATGGTGTCGGGAATAAGTCAATTATATTTTGGTTTAAATAATGGCCAAATGGGATCCACAATGTACAAGTGCTTTTAAAATAGTTATTATTCATAAGCAGGTTTCCACAAATCCTGTAGCTGTGAATTACTTCTGGCAATGATCTGTGCCAGGAGTACAGAGCCTCTTTCAGTCCAAGTAGTGAATTCCATTTCGGAGCAGGTTTTGGGAGCCTCATTACTATGGGAATTGCTGATGCTCTGTGAATGTCTATTTCACATACGTTATTTGTCCATATTAGTGGATCTCCTGGGTGATGAAAACTGCTTACATTAACAAAAAGCCCCTAGACAGGACATATGCAAGCCAGAAGAGCAGTTGTATTAAGTTCCAAGTGAATCCTTGATGCTAAGCATATGCTTGAGGATAGATTTGGGGGTCTAGTCCTCATGAGATTTATGAGTGACTATTCTTGGCTTTCAGCTTAGAAGAATTAGGAGGGCTAATTAATTCATGTTTGTCATAGTCTTTCAAATTCTCTAATGTGTAAGATATAATAGAAAAAAGGTGTCATCTTTACAGTCAAAGCTGAGTTCTTAAAAAAAAAAAAAGTAAAAGATTTATTTGCCTGCAACAGCCAAATCATTCACTGTAGCATTAAGTGGGGAAAAGGTGCTTTAAAAAATTAAATCCTGTCTGACACAAGGAGTTATACTTGTCTGCATTTGTTTAACGGCAGTAGTGCGCCTCAGGTCAGTCTGGCCCATAATGCACCATCATTACGGCAGCAGCATCAAGCCCTGATCTCAAGAAGTGCACAAGATTTCTAAGTGCTACAATGCTCTGCTTGGAAACATAACACTTGATTTATAATAATTGTTTTATTACTGGTGGTCTGGCTGAACAGTGTTGCTTGACTCGTTCCATTCCCATTCCCTTACGTCCATTGACTATTACTGAGCTTCTGTGCACTTGCAAGCCTTGGTAGGCAGCACAATAACTTTGTAGTGCCCTAGCATCTTGAGTGCATTGACCTTTTCCTAGCCTAGCAATAGAATGATTGACCTCCAACAGATGCCAGCATGGTTCTTCAGACCCAACCTCGAGTTAACTTCTAAGAAACAAGAACAGAAATGGTTTAAAAACAGCTGCTGCTGCAGCCTCTAATCAAAATGTGCCCACTTATGCTGTTTTATATCCAGGAAAGTATATATACCTGGAGAAAATATACCCACATTAAACAATTTAAAGTCCCACTAAGTTTAGAGACTCCTTCTGAGGCTCTGGTGCTGAAGAGGCTGAAGTTGACCAGTTCTATGAAGGCCTACAACACCTTCTAGAATTAACACCAAAAATGATGTCCTTCTCATCATGGGGGATTGGAATGCTAAAGTAGGAAGCCAAAAGATAATCGGAATAACAGGCAAGCTTGGCCTTGGAGTACAAAATGAAGCAGGGCACAGGCTGGTAGAATTTTGTCAAGAGAATACGATGGTCATAACAAACACTCTTTTCCAACAACCCAAGAGATGACTCTACACATGGACATCACCGGACAGTCAACACAGAAATCAGATTGACTCTGTGCTCTGCAGCCCAAGATGAAGAAGCTCTATACAGTCGATAAAAACTAGACCAAGAGCTGACTGTGGCTCAGATCATGAGCTTCTCGTTGCAAAATTTAGGCTTAAATTGAAGAAAGTAGGGAAAAACACTAGGCCACTCAGGTATGACCTAAATCATATCCCTGATGAATATACAGTAGAGGTGACAAATAGATTTAAGGAATTAGATCTGATAGACAGAGTGCCTGAAGAACTATGGATGGAGGTTCACAATGTTGTACAAGAGGTAGCAACTAAAACCATCCCAAAGAAAAAGAAATGCAAGAAAGCAAAATGGCTGTCTGAGGAAGCTTTACAAATAACTGAGGAAAGAAGGGAAGCAAAAGACAAGGGAGAAAGAGAAAGATACACCCAATTGAATGCAGAATTCCAGAGAGTAGCTAGAAGAGATAAGAAGGCCTTCTTAAATGAACAGTGCAAAGAAACAGAAGAAAACAATAGAACAGGGAGGACAAAAGATCTCTTCAAGAAAATTGGAGATAGGAAGGGAAAGTTTCCTGCAAAGATGGACATGATAAAGGACCAAAATGGCAGGGACCTAACAGAGGCAGAAGAGATTAAGAAGAGGTGGCAAGATTACACAGAAGAACTATACAAGAAGGAGCTTAATGTCCCTGATAACCACGATGGGGTGGTCACTGACCTAGAGCCAGACATCCTGGAATGTGAAGTCAAATGGGCCTTAGGAAGTCTGAGCAACAACAAAGCTAGTGGAGGCGACAGTATTCCAGCTGAGCTATTCAAAATCTTAAAAGACAATGCAGTAAAAGTGCTACACTCAATATGCCAGCAAATTTGGAAAACTCAACAGTGGCCAAAGAATGTTCAAACTACCGCACCATTGCACTCATTTCACATGCTAGCAAAGTTATCCTCAAAATCCTACAAGCTAGGCTCCAGCAGTATGTGGACCGAGAACTACCAGAAGTACAGGCAGGATTTCGAAGAGGGAGAGGAACTAGAGATCAAATTGCCAACATACACTGGATCATGGAGAAAGCTAGGGAGTTCCAGAAAAACATCTACTTCTGCTTCATTGACTATGCTAAAGCCTTTGATTGTGTGGATCACAACAAATTGTGGCAAGTTCTTAAAGAGATGTGAGTACCTGACCATCTTATTTGTCTCTTGAGAAACCTATATGCAGGCCAAGAAGCAACAGTGAGAACTGGGTACGGAACCACTGATTGGTTCAAAATTGAGAAAGGAGCTCAGCAAGGCTGTATACTGTTGCCCTGCCTATTTAACTTATATGCAGAGCACATCATGAGAAAGGCAGGGCTAGATGAATCACCAGTTGGAATTAAGATTGCTGGGAGAAATATCAACAACCTCAGATATGCAGATGATACCAGTCTCATAGAAAGTGAAGAGAAACTAAAGAGCCTCTTGATGCGGGTGAAGGAGGAGAGTGCAAAAGGTGGCTTGAAACTCAACATTAAGAAAACTAAGATTATGGCATCCGGTCCTCTCACTTCCTGGCAAATAGATGGGGAAGGAATGGAGGTAGTGACAGATTTTATTTTCCTGGGCTCCAAGATCACCGCAGACGGGACTGCAGCCAAGAAACTAAAAGACGCTTGCTCCTGGGGAGGAAAGCTATGGCAAATCTAGACAGCATACTAAAAAGCAGAGACATCTCCCTGCCAACAAAAGTGCATATAGTCAAGGCTATGGTTTTCCCAGTTGCAGTGTATGGCTGTGAAAGCTGGACCATAAGGAAGGCTGAGTGCCGAAGGACTGAGGCCTTTGAATTGTGGTGCTGGAGGAGACTTCTGCCAGTCCCTTGGACCACAAGGTGATCAAACCAGTCAGTCCTAGAGGAGATCAACCCTGACTGCTCTTTAGAAGGCCAGATCTGGAAGATGAAACTCAAATACTTTGGCCACCTAATGAGAAGGAAGGACTCCCTGGAGAAGAGCCTAATGCTGGGAACAATAGATGGCAAAAGAAGAAGGGGACGGCAGAGGATGAGGTGGCTAGATGGAGTCACTGAAGCAGTTGGTGTGAGCTTAAGTGGACTCCGGGGGATGGTGGAGGACAGGAAGGCCTGGAGGAATGTTGTCCATGGGGTCGCGATGGGTTGGACACGACATCGCAACTAACAACAACAAATGGTGGTTGCAAAAAGACCCTGGTTAGTACAATGTAGAAGCCAGGCCTGACAGGTTGAAAGTTTAAATTTGGACTCTAGTATGACTGATGTCACCAACAATTGTTTTACTCTGAACAAAAGAAATACCAAATTAATATACTGAGTAGAGAGAGATCTTCGTCACTGTTTCATAGCAGCAAATAATATTCTTAGAAACCATGCATGGATAAGTTAGTTTAATTTTTAAAAAATATTTGCTGGAAGGAGGTAGGAAAAATAAGCAGCATCAACAATATATGTTTTTTAGAATATTTTGCATTGGAAATGTATACCAAACCAAAAAAGGAATATTTTCATTGGTTCACATTAGGGTAATGGCAAAGGTACATCTCCAAGGCAAAGTGTCACTGGACTTATTCAGTTCAAATATGCTTTAAAAGTGTATCTTTATATACATGTACGAAATAGACTCAGAGAAAATGTATAAAACAGTGAAATCCAATATACATGTTCCAGCTGGCATAAGACTCTGGACTAAAAATGCCTTTGCAGTCAGCTTTATCTTAAGCTTCTTCAAGGAAATAATTTTGGATATTTGCTTTATTTTGGAAAGGAGAAATGGTCAGTCCAAAACATGGTACCTGCAGGTGGAATTTGATGATACCTGAAGTATTCCACCCCCCCCCCCCACACACACACATATCTCTCTCAATTTATTTATGCCCTTAGGTCACAATTAGCAAAGAGAAGGGATAATCCCCTGTAGGAATTTCTCTTTCTTATCCTGTGTTCACACTGGGAAGTGAGGGGGGAGGGAAACAATCCTCTTTTCATATCATATTTATCTATGTTCTACCCTTGGGCAAGTGCCAGTTTTTTAAGCATGCATAATGCCAAAGGCAAATTTGCTGGCAAAGTAACACATCTTTTTTTAACATTTCTTTGGAGTATATT